ATATTGACTACCAATGACAGAAAAACCATAAAAATGATACAGAGCCTTGCGCGGGAGGGCAAGGGGGTATTCGGGTAAATCTTCTTGAGAAACAACCTAAATCTTCAGACAAGCCAAGATGATAAATAATGAGCAGATCAAATGACTCAATAGCCCTCTTTCCTATTTATTCGAAAAGTAACTAAACACAAATTTCTGAGACATTCATCCGTAGTCAGTGCAACAATTTCTGTGACAATCTTCCATAACCGATGCAACAATTTCTGTGACATTCATTCATTTGCGACACTCATTCATATTATGCTAAATCATTTTAAGTAGTTTGTCATTTACAATGAAATATATGAAGTTCATCATTTTGAGTAGTTTGTCAATCTTTTAATCGATGCTCAATCTGAAAATTTAAAACTATAACTACGCAAAGATCCTTAATCCCTATATCTCTCGGGATGAGCCTGACCTACGCATTGACCACTGGCCCCAGTTTTATTTTGTTAGAGTCCTAATTGATATAATCAGTTGTTCAATGAATCAAAGCTGTTAACATTAACCACGTACATCTTCGACACTCTTCATAAGAAAAGAAAGTAAAGCGGATCAAATTCTCCTGTCACGTTCGTTGTGAGATTTCCTTCAGTTCGGCCCTTTCGTCTAGTGAAGAGAAAGACATGCATGATTTGCGTTTTCTTACAGAGGATAGCAACAAAAAAATAACTTTTCTTTATTTTTGTGTTCACCTGATGAGAATTTACCTCATCTAGAAAAGCTAGTCTGCCATTACTACAAACATCTAAATTTCTTTTTACATTCTGCATTGAATTACATCTAAACGAATTTCCAGACCTTGTCTACTATCGCGACCATCGGATCTCAAATGAATCTCAACAAGAGGTTATAAGATTTATATCCTCTTGATATCAGCGGATTCCTAAAGAATGTACAACATAAATGTCCTTTATCAAATAGAATTTCAATCGAAAACAGAAAAACTACTCTTTAGAATTTAATTGTTTTTAATTGATTGTAATAAGTGATAACACAAATTTAACTTTACAATTTACCAAACTTTATATAATACATGATACATGGCAAGGGACAGCTACACATAGTACAACATGGTGTCAAACAAAAGCGATCACATATTCATCAAAATATTTATTTGGTTCACATTGGTATTGGTGATACTATCATTATCTGATACTCTAACATTTGTCATTTCATCAAACAGGTACCCGAACTTACCAGTCCGCTGGATATCGTGCATGTAGCTGTCTCAATAGTTTCTACCGCATGGATCGTTTTGGCCCTTGCACCGCTTGTCCAAGTTATGGAATTAACTGTGAGAATGACGCTGCAATATTAGCGCCAAATTATTTTTGGAACTGGAGTAGCTCTGAAAAAGGAGAATCTTACACCAAATTTGTCATCAACATTTACACCCACAATGAGAGTTATAACAAAGCCTTTTCCACCTTTGAAGGACCGTTACCAAAGCCTGTAAAGTGCCCCTATCCAGACTCGTGTAAAGGCGGAATTAACTGTACATGCAATTTAGGATACCAAGGTAT